GCAGACACCGCCACCTAGAGATACTTATTGGTTCCCCCAATTGGCATTAAAAAGGAGTCTCTTCTGATGTTTATAGGGGGAGGGGTAATCGGGGAGGCAGAATGACTGGCCACTCAGATGATGCTCGGTCCCTCTGCTACCAGTTGTCCCCCGGCCGGTGTCCCTCGTTGGGGGTTCCCTGAAGGCAATCAAGGCCACCCTGGGCTGAAAAGCCACCCGATTTCATATTAGACACAATATTGAATTTACCTGGGCTGGTTAGTCTGATTATAATACCTCAAGGTCATTGCTCTTTTAAAAAAAAGAAAAAAAGTCGTTCAGTTTAGTTTTCTGCATAATATAGTTTGTTTTTGGATTTTTTGGATTTTTTGGATTTTTTGGATTTTTTTTTTTTTTTGGCTGGGACCTTCCCTGGTCCTTGCACGACCGAGCCGCCCAGGAAAATAGGGTGACCTGGTAGTTAAGAAATCAAAAAATCCCAAAAACAATTAGGGGGGTTCTCTGGAGGTTCCTCCACGGGATTGTGACACCCCCCCCCCCCCCACCCCAATCAGCCAAAAAGAGAAGTTTTCTAATAGCCCGCAACCCCGCTGCACGGGCATGACCAACCAGTCACTGGTTCTGTTACTGAGTGTCCAGGCCTCGGTCTCGGACCCCGTGAAAGGTAACCCGGGGTACGACACACGAGAACCATTCACCCATCCCTAACCCCCCTCCCGCAAGACTTACCACAGCGGTGTGACGCCCAAACCCCACGCCCAGCATGACCTCCTGATTGGAGTGGGATTGGGGCTCGGAAGTGAGAAAAAGAGGTGTGCCAAGGATTTTAGGGTAGTAGGGGTGGAGTTCCAGGTCAGAACTGAAATCTCCTGTGGCAAGCCTTAGGGCAATTATGCAAGATAGTAAGCACGAACCGCGTCCGACTTTTATGCCTTGGGGGATGTCATGACTATCCCCGTGAGCTTCGTTGTCGAGGTCGGACTCGGATTTGGTGAACCGGTGGATTGCTATGTGTGTCGCGCTGTCCAAGCAATCGCCAGCGTCGCTCGTGATAAGCCTCCGAATCGGACGAAGCGGGCCTCAGGTGCAGGCTGTGTGCTCGCTGTTCGGCCTTAGTCCCGGTTCGTCGAGTGAACCCCACGGCTCGGTACTCGCAGTCCTGCTGGCACTCGGAGCACGGGGTTCAAGGCCAGTAGGGGGCGAGTGCGTGCCACAGGGCCTCCGTCAGGCAGTGAAAAGGCAACACGAGGCGGTAGGGAGCGAAGTCTGTCTCAATGATGATGACACCGGGTTCGACGATGATGTGGCTTACGTGTGTGCTGGGGAACAGCAGGGAAAAGGGATCGCACTTAGGGCCCGTTCGATATCCCACTCACAGACACGTTCGTTTCCTATCCGAAAGGGGAATTTTGGAGGGTTGGGGTGGGGGTGTGCGAGAAGACAGACGTTTTTCCACTCCCAGTATTCTCGGAACCGCCGGTGGCTCGGACTCTCCCGATCTGTGACGTGGAAGGGAGTTCCATCATCCATGCTATCAGAATTTAGCGAGTTTAGACATGGACTCGAGCGCGGGTCTTGTAGACGTGCGTGCAGGCGATGTTCGTTTTGATCGAGCCTGCACGTCTGCGCACGAGACCATGTTTGTGATCAGTTGGATCAAATCACCCGACTATCCCTTTGGTCGGGAGATCGTTTCATCCGTCGTCATGCTAGCCATGCACGCGTCAAGAAACAAGCATTAGGAAGGCGATCCGCTGGCAATCACACATTTGAATCAACCATCCACTTATCCACCAGAGCATACAGCAGCCGCGTCCACCGAGTGTTTGTTAGATTCTTCTTTCTATCCAAAAGGGAACGGGAAACTGACATGCATACTCAAATATTGATCGAACTCATGCATCAACCAAACTCGAGGGTCGTGCGAGTCTCCGGAAAAGCATAGCGACAGATCGACAAAGGTTTGCGCATCAAGCCACGTCACTGAGGAAGCTTACATCATCATAACCCAAGCTCACCGAGGTCACGAGCATACAACCGTCGTGCCCGATCTGACCACACCGCAATTGAACACGAGTGAGGGGGAAAAATCAAACCGATCACACACACAAAAAAAAAAACACAAACCAGGGGTAGTCATGAGTAAAAGAGGACCGACGCAAGTTATCAAAACTACATAAGTAAGAAAGAGAAGGACACTATCCCACACACAAGATCCGAAGGTTGGCAATTCCGTAATATGCATGAGGAGCGCATCCAACCCGAGCGCCGAATGGAGACTAGGACGAAATTTGAGTTAAACCAGTCATTGCGCGAGGAGGGGTGAGGGAAGTGCGTGAGGTCATTCAACACACACCATAAGCATAAAAATCCAAAATGATTCGCAAGGACATTGAAATGGTCGTAACAAGATCGGCCAAAATCAAAATTTGCACAGAGGGTTAGAGAAAGGTATCATCGCACACACACATCTCTCTCTCTCTCTCTCTCTCTCTCTCTCTCTCTCTCTCTCTCTCTCTCTCTCTCTCTCTCTC